GGTCAGATTTGAACCCTGGGCCGCTGCGGCAAGGACATGGTACGCCAGCTCTACCAACTGAGCTAACCGGGCACCGCGGTCCCACATTTGTGGTTAATTTGTGGGCGCAACTTAACATTTATTGTACTGTATTTTTCAAAGGTAAGCTCCGTATGGAAAGGTAGGGCTGGCAGCAGGAGCTCTGCAGCAGAAATCCTCTCTGTGTGCTCACTTAAGGTGTGTAAGCTGCAGCAGTTCAGCAAGGCCGGCGTTACGCACTGCTCATGCATCCTGTGTGGATCAAGTGTAACCAGGCTCATCAGCCTCTGCAGACATGGCAAAGGCAAAGACTGTATGTTTGATAATGTGGAGTATACTTCATAGATATGTACAATTGCTCAGGTGCTTACTTCGCCTGTTGTTTCTGGATGTTCTGAAGCCCCAGCATGCTCTGTTCACCATTACTTTATGGAGACTAATGAAGTCTGTCTGCTTACTGTCATTTTTCGCTAAAGGAAGGAGCACCAAAAGAGACTCCGTATGTATGACAATGCACCATACAACCTAATGTCAATCAGAGCAGCTGACTCACTCCTGTCACTTCTCACTCCTTCCACTGGTACCAGATGACGTAGTGGACATCACAGCTTGTGGAGGAGGAGCTGTTAAATAAAATATTATATTATTTTTCTACAGCAGGTGTGAACAAAAATATGGAACAGCATACCCAGCACTATCCTTCCACAGCACATGCACCACATCAGACTGCATTTCCACATTTTCGGGAACAATCTTGCTGTTTTGTATGTATGTGTGGGTTTAGGGTGTTGTCATGTTCAAATAGTCATTATTTTTCCTCATCCCTGAAAATAGCTGCTCCACACCGGCTGCTTATGCGACCACCAAGCTCTGAGAACGTCCCTCTCATCTTGCTGTGTCCCTGGTGGAACTCACTTGAGGTGCTTGAGGTTGTCCAGTGTAGGATCCAACAACTTTACTTGAGAAGAATCGAAAGTCTCTGGCTGTCTGCAGTTGGTATGCAATGCCTGTCTCCTTGCATAATCAGAGACTGTTGCATCGGTAAAGAGTTTCTATGAGAGAATGTTACATGCTCTCCTTTCTACTTGCTCTGGTGCTCCTCATTAGGTATGACTGGTTGGTGGCCGTGATCCCATATTTAAGTGAGGCTGGAGACGCAGGGGCTCTCTCTCCCAGACAAAGCTGCCTGCCGATCCCATCAGTCAGCCCCTAGTCCCGTTTATGGTTCTGTTTCGTAGCGTAGTTACAATTTTGATAGTTTAGGTGGGGAATCTCTGGGTCCTTCAACTTCCTCTGCCCTTTTGTTTTTTTTTTGCCTTTTTGGCCAGACCTCCAGACTCCTATAATTTCTGGTTTTGCTTAAATCTTTTACTTAAAAACTAATTATTGGGTTACTATGTTGTCTTTACCTTGATGGTCCCAACTGTTTGAGCCAACATGTTTCTTTTGTGGCTGTAACAGGGCACAAGATCCACATAATCACGTGGACTCTCTACTTTGATGTAAAATTTCACAGAATACACAACCTCACAGGACAAGTGATTACAGCAGCCACTTAGAAGACAACAGAAATATGTATTAGTAATATTACGATGTTTATTTTTGATAAAGCTGTAAACCATTTATACACAACAAAAGAATAGAAAGAGTCACCCCACACCTTCTCAAACACTTTGTTGTAGATAAGTCTATTTGACATCTTGTCCCGTAGTCTGAGGACAAGATCCATCTTGAAGTCTTGTCCAAACCACACTGTTTGCACAGTGCCCTTACTCCCTCTGCTTTGTGTAAATACATTTGTAAACCAATGTTGCAGATACAGAGGTGTATTGTGCAATGTAATTTCACTATTACAGTCAAGTTTCGAAGCTCATCAGCCAGCCACTTTATAGTCACCTGCTGGTAATCACTGTCATCATTAGACACCAGTGGTGGTAGCTCGGGAACACAACAAAAGGGTTCTTCAGACCACTTTTGGAAACAACTGTGATAAGTAGTGTTTAAGAGACCACATTCACTTAATTTACTTATTAATTATAAGACTGTTCTCTAAAGCCTTCCCTAAATGTCTTTTGGCATGACTTGCATGGAATTAAACCACGACTGATCATTTCTGTGCCAACAGCATCACAGAAGTTATTTATGTCCACAAGACCATCATAATCTTTGGGTGGACTCTTGATTTCAGTGTTAAAACAATAGTTTGCAGTTAAATATCTACTTTATTAAAAAACATAAAAAGCTATAACTATAAAAAGCTCCATTGTGTATAATATAAGTAGAGACAGAATGTGCCCACTGTGTTATTCAAGGACATGGTTAGCATGTTCAGCTCACTGTAATTCAGAGAGAGGAGCTACTATGCAACCACTGAGTCTATAAATTATGTGAAATAAGGGCCAACCCGATCAACTCCCATTAAGACTATAAAGACTGGGTGCTGGATCCTAAATGTGTTAAATCATAAAACAAAGGACTAGGACAGCCATTAAACTTTTTAATATTGCCATTTCGGGCAAGACGCCCTTCTTCAGCGTGTATTCAGTGATACTTTATTAATCCCCTAGGGGAAATTGTTCTTTTCACTTTTTTTTTGTTTTTACACACACACACACAACACACACACACACACACACACACAACACACCACAGTAGGCTGAATTTACACACTCTATGCACTTGTGAACAAGCAAGTTCACAAAGTCACCAGGAGAAGACCTTTTTTTGCTGCTTTTGCATCTATAGTTAATCTTAGATTCTTATGTGTGTGTGAATATTGTGTTCGAAGTGTCTCTCTTTCCTGTGTGGCCTGAAGGAACCTCCCTTGCAGCAACACTGGCACACCATGCAAGTACTAATCACCCCTGTCCCATATTAGATAAAAAGGAGGAATGGAGCAGGGAAGAGGTGTAAGGGGAATCCAACAGATCAACAAGAGAAAGGAACAGGAGCAGCAGAAGCGATGTGCTGGCTGAACTTACACCTTTGCCCTCCCCCCCTTAACACCTGCGTCACGGAGCAAGTAAAGATTGGCTGACAGCGTTTGGACCCCCTGTGAAAGACTCTTTTGAAAAGACTGTGCCTCTTCCATCCCCTGCGTAAACAGACTCTTTAAGAGGACTGTGCCTCTGTCATCCCCTGGTAAAGAACTCTTTTATAAAGCACTGCGCCTTCTTACCACCCCATCTTTGTCGCTTTTTGTTTTAATCAAAAAGAAAACTGCCTGTGTTCACATAACATAGCCATTATTGAACTTCTGACTCTGCCTACTTGTTTAACCAGAGAGTAAAGAAACCTGTGACACAAACGGGGAGAGAGATGGTGGAGTGATGGGGCTGCAACATTAACAGCGCCCCATGAGCAGGCTTGGGGTTAGGTTGCCTTGCTCAAGGGCACCTACAGGCAAGCGCATTCCGTGCCCTTGATCTAGTAAAACGTGGCCTCAGTATTAGGGTTGAGTTAAGTATCTGATAAGAATAATGTACTTCCAAAAATCCCCCCCCCCAAAAAAACAATATCCTGGAGGGGCTGATTTAGAGACCCCCCAAAATTTCACAAATCTTGTTTTCTGGGGAACTCATATCTTATAAAGAGGAGCTGAGCCCCCCCTGACTCCCCTGTAGTTTGCATCCTGTTCTTTAGCCAACAAATGTAATAATCCAGTCACTATAAGTACTCTAACATACAATCTTATCTGATTATATGATATTCATGCCTTTTTTTTTTTTTTATGTTTCCTTGAGTTGGACAAACAATTTGTGGACTGAAAACAAGATGATTTTTTCTCATCTTGGTAAGTGAGCTCTCGACGTGTTACTCTGGTAGCACATACCAGTATACTAAAATTGGAACGATACAGAGAAGATTAGCATGGCCCCTGGCGCAAGGATGACACACAAATTTGTGAAGCCTTCCTCATTTTTGAGGGCTTTCGTATATGGGCAGAGAGGGGACTGAGGAAAATTAGCGACTTATACAAAGAGGGGCAGCTCATGTCGACATTCCAAGAAAACAGTTCTTTAAGTACCTGCAATTACACAGCTTTATTTACGCAAGTCAGAATTGAAACTATGACACTCTAGTCCTCTCCTCGCTGAAGGAACAGGTCCCAAAGGACTGTTATAGTAAAGGCTTCATTTCTTCTTTCTATGATTTCTTAATTTCTGCTTCCAAGGTGTCTTTAGAGGGAAAGTTAGAAGGATGGAGGAAAGATCTGAATGAGGAAATAATGCTGGAGGATTGGAATATGGTTTGAGAAGATGTACAGTAACTGTAAATACCCGTCTGATACTATTGCAATATATTTGGTTCATATGTATATATGTAACAGCAGTAACATTACAGTACTTTGACAACAATATACCAGACACGTACTAAGTGTGAGTAATTGTATTTGGGAAGGTCGTAAAATAATGGATTTTTGGAAAGAAGTAAAACACGTGATGGACAGGATCACTTCTGTAGAGGTCCCTCTTGATCCTAAGATTTACATTTTGAATTTCTACCCTTCAAACCTCAAACTAAGAAAGAAGGAATATACATTTACAGATATGTGTATCCTGCAAGCCAAACGGCTTATTGCTCTACTGGAAGAAAACAAATAGGGCAAGTATCAAAGAATGGGTTAATAAAATGACATCATGTATGGTATTAGAGAAGATAACTTACATATTGAGAAATAGACAAAATGTGTTTGAGGAAACTGGAAACCTTTTGTTTCATTCCTCAGTGCAAGCGTTAGAGCTACCCTACATAAGAAACCCTATACTTAAAAGTGATACATATCAGCACCACCTCTGAGACAAGAATGGCAATGAGAGTACTAGAGTGTACACTTTTTTAAAAATATATATTTTTAACATATGTTTTATTTATCTGTTTTATCTTCTGTATGTCCATATATCAGATTTATGTATGGGTTACATTACAATCCACGTCTTTGGCTCATTGTATGCAAACAGGAGCACAGGCAGTGTTCCTCGTGTAGGACAACATCTCTTACCACATTCACACAGAAGATATTTTAGGAGACCCTGAGGGTAAAGTTATCCCTGTGGTGGTTTTGCATGAACATGAGGAGTTGAGGCAGTGTGTAAGTATCCTGAATCATATTTCACATAATGGCCATAATGTCCATAAATAGTTTTCCTAGAATCCACCCTGAAGCACTAACCCAAGGGAAAAACATTGAACCTAGAAGTTATTTTGAAGAAGAAGGCACATTATGATGTGTGTGACAGTTTTTTTTTGCTCAAGCAAGAAGCCTGAGAGAAGATTTAATCAAACTAAGGCCATGTGTTGTTACAGAAATCAGCAGAACATTTTCCTTTTCAGCTGATGTCACTCATCAGGCACATGCTGTAAGTTCACTTAATTTGCTTTATTCCAGACACGTTCAGCCAGAATTCCTTGATGGTGTTTGGTGCAGTAAGACCTCAGAATTCAACTACAAATGATTTGCAAAACCTATCCATCTGTTATCTGCAATAGACACAATTCTAAGTGACAACTTTATTAATGATAATAAATCATGAAGTGTGGCCGCACAAAGAAGAGTGTCCAATCTGTGTAAATTGTAGCTCCCCCTGTCTGACCAAATACAATTCTACCATTGAATGTGTTGACTTCTGGCCACAGGAATGAAGAATCAAAATTTAAGAGTGAAATGCAATCTGACTCCAACACAGCACAGGGAGCAGCACTCTGTCCAGAAAAAGCTGCACTCAGCAATGTAAGACCTTTTCCACCTTCTTTACTTTGCTCTCCTTTGGTTTAAAGCATCTCAGACGAGAATGTTGTTCTGCTTACTGATGTCACCTTGAAGGATTTCTGGGTATTGAAGTTCAAAAATGTTACACTTATCTCTTGCAGCCATTTGGAGCTGCAAACAAACATGCTGAGTTGACCTGTGGTGCTTTAATCTAGAGTCATGAAATGTCACAGAGAAAAAAATCTAACAACTTTTTAGAGACATCCAAATCTAAAATCTGTTTCAACACGACACAAAAAAGGAGAGGGAGGTGAGGATGTACAGTGTGCATTAGAGCAATACTGTAGGTCAAAGTTTTGATAAATACACTTACTTGCTTTCTTGCTGAGAGTCACTCTCATATCTGTAAAACTACACTACAACCAGCAGTTTGATAGCTTAGCTTAGCATAAAGACAGGCAACAGGGAAACAGCTTGCTTGACTTTGTCCAACTGTTACAAAATCAACGAAAAAGGAGTAAAAATGACTGATTGGAGGTGAAACTGAAAGTGAGTGCACATGAGATGCCAGTTTTAGTCCCTCATTTCATAAGGATTAACTTTATGTTTAAAACTCACTGTTTGGGTAATAGTTTTACTGTTTTAACCTTTCTTTTCTTCTACAAATAAGCTAGTCTAAAAGTCTGACTTTCTGTGTTTCTTGGTTGGCTCATTTCTTTTTAGCTATGGCACCACCAATAAACGGTGAGTTTGAGGTTATTACCAAAATGATACTCAAGACTATAAATAAAACCAGAGTTGTATTAAACCAGAATAATCCTTTGAATAGATGGATGCTTTAGGTCAAATCCAAAGAATTTTACTTTTCTCACATTTGAAATTTGCATACAAGAGATGTTAATGGAGAACACACAGCTTTGAAGATACTGAGCAAAGGAATATGCTCTGTACTCCATCAGTTGTATAAATGTAACACTGTTCCTTGTCCAGGTTTAAAACTTGTTTTTAAGTTTGAATTCTGGCCTTGCTTTCTTTCACAACTTGTCCTTGCTCTCCAATGTTGACTTGCAGATGATTTCAGTTTAAGTTTGTTTTGTGCTCTTTCAATAGTTTGGCTGTCAATGAACTGTAATAGCCTCAGCCTTGTTTTTTCACACTCAGGAGCTTTAGATGGCGGGGAACACTCATTCAAGTAATGTCTTTAGAAAGGTCTACACACTTAATACAGCTCCAAAAACCTAAAAGTGACTAAACACACAAACCACTTTTTTAACAATCTACACCTATAACAATACATTTAATCAATCAGTCAGACAGTCATTCAGCACCAGTTTAATGATTTTCTATAAAGGTAGCAAAACCTACTACATATGGATGGATAGAAGGATGGAGGGACAGAGAAAATACCTGTAAGAGGAGCAGAGAGATTGATGGACATGAAGGGCAAAGAAACAAAGGAAGCAAAGGGAAAAGGTTGGAGAAAAGCAGACATAACAAAAAAAACAGCCAAGGACAAATACAGAAATTCTTCAAAAGTTCTTTTGGAGAGCAGAAAATGCTGAGTCTGCACCATTTGAAAAGATTCTTCGCTGAATGTATATCCACAGAAAAATACAGCTATGTGATATATATGTGCACAAAACTTCAGTTTTGTAGCTTCATGCTTTCATCCCTGGAAAAGTCCATCCTTTATCCATGATCCCAGATGTTTGGATCTCCATTCTGTTTGATGAGAAGCCAGAAGCAGCAACAGCAACGCCACTTTAAAGCCAGACCAGATTTTTTCATCTCTCAGCTTCACATACTGTAGGTGTGTGATGTATGTATGGAGTTTACCATATGTGTAACAGGGTCGTACATGTACACAATGGCTTTAGTCCTGCTACTCTGTTTCTCACACATAAAGGCAAAGAACGTTCAGCACTGCATGCTATTTCGCAAACAAACACATTTAGGGAGCGACATTTGGGTCGGAAAGCGGCAGAGAAGAGGGGTTTAATCAGTAACAATGAAATGTACAGCATGTTGTGTGGATGAATGATTAATTCAACAAGCTAATTTACACCACAGTGAGATATTTGATCTCTCTCTCTCACGCACACACACACACACACACACCTGCACACAACCTTGAACACACACAAACAATCACCATCTGCGATACATAGTGAGAAAGGGACAAACAATCCAGTTATATATATATATATAGAGAGAGAGTTTATGTTGAGTTGTTTTTTTTTTTTTTTTCAGTTTACTGTGCATTTGAATTAAGGTGGAAATCCAGTACGTGACAGGATTTAGATTGCTGTTAGACTAGTCATTTTAAACAACACAGTATGTGTATTCTGCTCAACCTAGACACCTTATTCTTAGCCCCATGATACCATGTGTGGATTAGAACCAAAGTGTCACTTCACATCTAGTGAATATTCATGTCACTTTAACTTGGTTTTACTCATAGCCATAAAATTCTCCAAAGCTCTCTTCTCCAGTAAAATGTTCAACATTTTTGGTGTAATCCCTGCTAAACTGAGGACTTTCCTTGTTTGTTGAGCCGTGATTTTTAGTTTGCAACATTCTGTGGATTGTGGGTAATGGTGTTTGTTAAATGCTGCTAAAAAACAGAAATGACAACATGACTGTTGAGAAAGGCTGTATTCCAGGGCTGGAGCTGTAGTTATGAGCGTAGTTAAAAATGTTGATGGGATTTTGAATGATGTGTTGTGACTTCTCTTTCAAAAAGTTTTACTTTAGTTCTCTATAAGGGGCTTAGTTCACTGAACTTTTGCAAGAGTTAGTGGTATGCTAAATAATATAGTTTAGCCTGATTGTTGGTGCAACCATGAATAGTGCAACTTGTCCCTGAACTCTAATATCACATAACAGCCTAAGTTAGCTAGTGGCCTTGCTAATATAGGCCACTTCTTCAAGCCATTCTCTCATCCCTTGTAGAAGGTATGATCACTTTTTTTCACATCTTTAGCATTTTGCTAATCCATTTTGCTAATCCCCTTCCAGTTCAGTGAAAGGAGTAACCGTTTGAGCCCATACTTCATGCAGGGCATCATGGGGCTATGAATAACGAGGATAAGGTGTAAAGCACAACTAATAATAAATGTTAAAGCTTTAAAAGTAGCACTTGCAAGGCATATAGGACATTATCTATACACATATGAAATATATTACTTCTATATACATTGATATTCATAGAGC